AGACTTGATAAAACCTTACAAAATTATCATAAGAAAGCTCTATTAAAATTATCATATAGAAATCAGAAACCTGTACAGAAAATAGGCATGTGTCTGCAAGGGATAAGCTATCCCTGAGTGGGCAGCACGTGTGCAGTCACCAGCGCCGGCAGCCCAGAGACACTCAGATAGACTGCCGCTGCCGAGCTGAAAACTGGGAGCGCCACACCCAGTGAGTCCCAAAACTGAGGGCACAGACAGCCACCAACCACCGTCATTTAGAAAAACGCTTGTTTCTTTTTATCGCCTTTTCCATGAACCGGTGAACATTGATGACTATAGGACTCGAAACCATTTCATTAAAAAAAAGGACTTGAAACCAGTCGTGCTCAAGGCAACTTTCAAATAGTTAGCTAGATTGGACTTAAAAATAATAAAAAAAGAACATTGCAGTGGCCTGATAACCAATAGAAATTTTCCTAAACTAATTATTTGGAACCATTAGGGACGCCCTTACAGAGTTCAAAGTTACCCCTTCGGCTAGAAGCTACAGGCTAGTAAATAGCAAAAGGAAGAGACGTGCGCTAAACGCCCTCTGGTCACTGGGCCTTCCACACTCTGGGCCGTAGAAGCGAGCGTTCCTCACCCAAGCCCACCACTCCGGTCTTGAATGACAAAGCCCAGCTGCCAGCGGCCACTTGGTCTGTTGCTGGAAATCCGTCAGGCATGCCGGAGTAGAACCTGACGGCGCGGATGTTGTCGGAGAAGCAATTTGCTACGGCTCAGTCCTAGGTGTGCTACAGTTGTGAATCGTATAGGAAATGAAATCCTCCATTCTTCCCATAACATTAGGAGGCCTAAGTTTCAGGAATCTGGTGGATGTTCTCTACTACGCACGAGTGACAAAAGCGATTAATTCAAACAGCCCAGACCCTAGACAACGACAGGAAATCGTGTCCACCTAACTCGAAGGGATGGGAAATTGTTGCCATGACACCTCTGTATATATCGCTGCCCTATATATGACGCCATCGATCGACTTGTCCGCCCGTGCATGCATCATCCATCGATGATGACTGAACAAGCAAATGTCACATTAGTTCATTGAATATAAACAAGGAGATGTGATCACTTATACAGAAAGAGTGAACCGTGTTTGGAAGTCTAATCCAAGATCATTGTGGAACAAAGAAGTACGTACGTTCATTTAGCACACCTCGCTCATGGTCCTAATATACTTAGCTGAAAACTGGGAGCGCCACACCGAGTCCCCCAAGACTGAGGGCACACCACCAACCACCGTCGTTAGAAAAGACTTGTTTTCTAATTAACCTTTTCCATGGCCCGGTGAACAACGATGACTACTCTTGATAAAGTGATCTCAGGTCCGTGGACTAGTATGGGCCAATGCTCTAACTGTATCCATGATTGAGTCAAAGGAAGTACGTGTTGGGATAACCACATTAACACACTTGCTAGTGACAGCGGAAGCGCTTAATTTCACCACAATGCGAAATCAGCCCAGATCGTCACCTATTCACGGAAGGAAACATATTCATCACACATATATATGGAAGAAATAGCAGGCAGTCACAACTGGTCCCAATTCCAGATGTCAATGGGGAATTCCCCGTCGGGGAGTGCCTCCCCATCCCCGTCCCCGTGAGGAAAAAAATTCCCCATCCCCATCCCCGTCAAGTGCCACGGGGGAGACTTTCTCCCCATCCCCATCCCCGCGGGGAATTAGTCCCCGTGGGGATCCCCATGGGCCGCAGATATTTCAACGTCATCTATAAAGTTTGCACTTCAAACTTTATTTAAGTAGCACATATATGTTCTATAGCATTTTCGCTTAATAAAAATTGGTTTAAAACTCTAAGTGATATAACGGGACTATGAAATGTAACTTTCGTTTCGCGTTTCCATTGATCGTTTCGACAGGAGCTAGGGTTGCAACATTGCTTATATATCACAGGTATTGGGCATTGCCAGTATATGGGCCTTTGGAATCGGGTCCCAGCGGGGAGCGGGGACGGGGGCCTGCATACCATCCCCGCCCCCGTGATCTCCGACGGGGATAACTTCAGCCCCGTTTAATCCCCCGTGGGGGTAGAATTCATACCATCCCCGTCCCCTAATGGGTGAATTCCCGCGGGGATTCGGGGAACGGGGCCCCGTTGACATCTCTAGTCCCAATCAGTTGTTATCACATTAGAAGCAGTCACAATTGGTTCTAATCAGCTGTGTTCATATCAACCGCAGTTGCAACTGATCACAACAGCACCAACAGCAAGCACAACTAGTTGCGGCAAATCACTTGCAACTGTAGTCGCAACTAGTTGCAACCAAACTCGCAGCAATAATAAGACACCAGATTTAACTTGGAAAACCCCTAAATCGGGGTAAAAACCATGGGACAAATCCAGCCAAATCTTCTTTCACTATATGCTTGTGGGATTATAACAAGTTCATCTCTAGATAGTACTAGAGGCAATCATACATCAAGATACGCATATCTTGGATAACAACAATAAGATTTGGGGCTGCTACTTAGGGAGTGGAAAGACCTCACCAAATGATGGTGGAACTCAGATTAGAGGCACCAAAGATGTGGATCTGAAGCTTCACAACCTTGAGGACAAACCCTTATTGATCTAAGCAAGATCTCTCTAATCTCACTCTTCTCCCTCTCTTTTCTTTCTCTGGTTTTCTTCCCTCTCTCACACACAAGGAGCATGGGGCTAAATTGGAGCTGCTCTATTCTCTCTCTGCTGAACTAAGACTCACGAAGCTTCCCTTTCCTTCTCTTGTAAGCCAAGAGGCAAAACACTAGATGCACACAAGGTTGGTCCATTTCCTGTGCTGCACCTATGATGTTTGGGCCTGCTCACTAGGAGCATTTACTCTCCTCAATACCCACTCATGAGGAGGATTTCCCAACATATCTCTCCCTCCAACTCATGAGGGGGGCACCATCATGCCCGCTACTTCATTGCAAACTTGTAGCTTCTCCTTCGGTAGCACTTTGGTCATCATATCCGCACCATTGTGGTAGGTATGGATTTTCTCAAGTTGCAACAACTTGGAACTCACCACTTCTCTAATCCAAAGGTACTGCACGTCAATGTGCTTGGTTCGAGAATGAAAGCTTGAATTCTTGGCAAGATGAATGGCACTTTGGTTGTCACAAAACAAATTGTACTTCTCTTGCTTATATCCTAACTCTTGCAAGAAGTTTTTCATCCATAACACTTCCTTGCAAGCTTCGGCCGCTGCAATGTACTCGGCCTCTGTTGTTGATAATGAAAGGCACTTCTGCAGCCTTGATTGCCATGACACTGCTCCCCCTGCAAATGTCATCAGGTATCCCGATGTGGACTTTCAAATTCCTATAACTTTTGAACGGTGTACTTATTTTTAATTCCATCTGCACTGATGTGTTCTATGCGACAAGCGAACAAAATAGACGCCACTTGCATATGTTTTGAATAATTTTTTTTCTAGTACCAATTTATGTGTACTATAATGCATAACTTATAACTTATGCCAAAACTTAGAAACATAAAAGTTATAAAAACACGACTTATGTACAAAAGTTATGAAACTTGTGCTATATAAGTTATGGTAAAATATTATACTGCAAAAGTTGTGATATATAAGTTATGGTAATAATTAAGTTATGCATAAAGGTTATGTGTATAACTTGATAGCTTCAAAAAAACTTATGTGTATAACTTAACTTAGATATATAACTTGATGAATGACTTAAATGTAAAATTGGACATATAAGTTGTATTCAAGAACTTGGATGTACAAATTAATATCAGAACATATTAAAACTATATACAAAAAATAACTAAGTAGTATAACTTATAAATATGTAACAAAGAAAAGATAAAAAATGGTAGAAAAAAAATAAAGGAAGAAAAAAAAGAAACGTTCGTAACAGCAAATGAAGAAGACACGTCCGTACATATCACAAAAGAATCATTTGGATGTTTTTTTTAGGAATCATTTGGATGTTAGCTAAATCGAAATGGGGAACGAAAATCATATGTCACCCGAACGACCAAAACTAATTAATCATTGCAACTGTCTTCAAGCATAGGCCCACCACGTGTCCGCAAAATTAAAGACGGCAGATACGTTCGCCAACGCAAACACGCGCCAAAACTGGATTCTGGGTGGGTTGGTGCGGTGCTTCGTTCGCTGGGGGGAAAAAAAACGAGCGAACGTTCGTGGTAATGGAATTGGGGTACTATTGCCGTTTCTTCCGCAGCTAACACATGGAATTGGGAGCCGTAATAAGAAAACCATCGGTCACCAGAAACGGAGACATACCCATAATTGAGCAATTATGTCCCATTCGCTGATAAGCTATGGCTGAAAATACTGTTGGCTGATTTGTTGTGAGAGAAAAATATTGTTCATTGGCTGAAAAAGTACGGCTTATAAGCCAAACGAACAGGACGTTAACCTATCTTTTTAACCATAAACCAAAAAAATGGAAGGTTTACATTTCTATATATGCCGAGCCCATAATTAATACAAAATTAAGCATATCCTCAAGAATTGCATGACGTGGAATTAAAACCCTTTCTGGTTGGTAAAAGTAGAAGGTGGCATATCTTCAAGGAAGTTTTTTTTTTTAGATTTAGGGATAAAATGTTCCGGCGTCACACCTCCATGACACCAGCCGTCCTTACAAATTGATTTGTAGGGACGGTCTAGGTCCCTACAAATGCATGATTTGTAGCCACGCTTTGGTAGGGGCGGCTGATCAAACCGCCCCTACAAATCATCTGGAGCCGTCCCTACAAAAGGTTTATGTAGTAGTGATAAACGAGTATAGCTACATTTTTATTTTATATATTATAGATTAAAAAAGATCAAATTAAGAGGTAATTACGCTCACCACGAGACCAACCGCAATCTGGTTGGTAAGAGTAGAAGGTGGCTGACCGCCGTGATAATTATCGTCCAGCGTATTGCCAATCAAAGGTTAGGTCATCGAGAATTCGTCAGGGTGGACGGTATGGCACGTCTGCTCGAGCGCCAAGGTACGGTCCGTTGGTGGCGTACGCTGCGGCGACCTGCATGCATACATACAGCAACTAATTCACATACGATCCCAACACTGAAAACGTATACTCCCTCCGTTCCATTGAGTTTGTCGCTCGGGAACCGGGATTGTGAGGGGGGCACGGTTTTCCAACGACAAACTCAATGGGACGGAGGGAGTACGTACGTACTGACAGAAAGTCAGGTCGAGACGCGCCCATCCACAAAAACGAACACCACTCCAGTCACATCACAAAGCATGCATGGCGACTGATCTGATCGCTGCCGTGCAGTGCAGCCAGATCCATCTCTTAATTTAATTACCTCCACTTTACCGTTGGACGTGTCCATGGAGGTTAGGAGATCGAAGCTGGCGTTGCCGCCGATGGCAGGGCGCCCGAACGGCGAGGCCCGGCGCACCATCTCGGCGACCTCCAGGTTGGCACGGCTCGAGTTTCTCCGGATAGGGACGCTCCCGGCCGGGCACTTTTCGCCACGTCCGGTGGTGGTGATGGCCCGGCGGTTTCGACGCAGACGCCGCGGCGGCCATCGATTTCATGCTCTTTTTCGGCTTCGCCTAGCGAGATGTACGTCACCGATCAAGACATAGGTCAGCATAGCACAAATCAGCAACAGATTAATTAAAGGATCGATCCGAGGAAGTAAGAGGGATTGACACGTCAAAATCAGCATTGGCAAAAAAGAAAGAAGACAACGAAGAATTTGAAGGATAGAGACCTGAAGTATTTCTGTGCTCTTCTCAAGTGGAGCGCGCTTGATGAGCGCCGGCTGGTGGTACATGTCCACGCAGGCAATCACGTCGCCGTCGTCACTCTGTGCCATTATTTGCATGATCAGCAAAACAAACATGTGTACGTGTCACTCGATGGTATATATAGCATGTACGTACACAAGTGTATATACCTGGATGGTCCTGTGAACCGGCGCCGCGCGAGCTCCAATCACCATCGCTACCATTAGGACTACGATAGCTTTGACCACGCACATCAAATCCATAATGCTAGTCTAATCCACGCAAGATTATTATATCCTGTACAACGTGCATTGTCGTCACTACTGGATTCAGGTTCTTTGTCGAGTGCCTCAGGCACTCGGCAAAGGCCAAATTGCACTTGGCAAAGCCTTTACCGAGTGCGGCACTCGACAAAGAACACATGGTAAAAAATTGATCGGCAAAGACCTCTTTGCCGAGTGTCTTTTATCGGGCACTCGGCAAAGGCTTTGCCGAGAGCCCGGGGGCACTCGGCAAAGAAAAGCGACCGTCACGGCGACGAATCCGTTGACGGTGGCTTTGCCGAGTGCCAACCCTGCAGGCACTCGACAAAGATTTTTTATTTTTTTAAAAAAAATTCTTTGCCGAGTGACCACTGGCCGGCGCTCGGCAAAGTTTGAATTTTTTTTAAAAAAACCCTTTGCCGAGTGCCCTCTTGTCGGCACTCGGCAAAGTTTAATTTTTTTTAAATTCTTTGCCGAGTGCCCTCTGGCCGGCACTCGGCAAAGTTTGAATTTCTTTTAAAAAAAATTCTTTGCCGAGTGCCCTCCTTCCGGCACTCGGCAAAGTTTGAATTTTTTTTTAAAAAAAAATTCTTTGCCGAGTGCCCTCTGGCCGGCACTCGACAAAGTTTGAATTTTTTTTAAAATTCTTTGCCGAGTGCCCTCTGACCGGCACTCGGCAAAGTTTGAATTTATTTTTTTTTAAAAAATTCTTTGTCGAGTGCCCTCTTGCCGGCACTCGACAAAGTTTGAATTTATTTTTTTTAAAAAAATTCTTTGTCGAGTGCCCTCTGACCGGCACTCGGCAAAGTTTGAATTTATTTTTTTAAAAAAATTCTTTGTCGAGTGCCCTCTTGCTGGCACTCGGCAAAGTTTGATTTTTTTAAATTCTTAGTTCCAGCTTTGTCGAGTGTTGTGACCATAGCATTCAGCAACGGGATCATTTGCCGAGTGCAACACTCGGCAAAGTGACCCAAAACGGCAATTTTTTTATATTCCATCATGACAAATAAATTCATACAATTATATATCTCATCCATCACATATATATCTCATCCATCACATATATATCTCATCCATCGACACATCCATCCGCACATATCATATCCATCACAATATATATCACATATATAATAATAAGTGCTCAAGTCCATCCAAATAAATCCACAAGTCCATCAAAGTCCACAAGTGCATCACAAGTATATCACAAGTCCATCACCAAGTAAACAACAAATGAAAAAAAATACAACGTGCACTCATCTCGGCTACTGCGTCTGTGGTGAAGGCCCAGTTCCATCATTCGGAGGTGCATGAGGTGGATTATTCGAACCACCGTCAGATGGAGACTGCACAAAGGAGAAAAGATTGCATGTGAGACAAGATTATTTGGATAGCTAATCTAGGAAGGTAGAGGCCATACAAGCAAAGCACAAGCGAAAGTAAAAACTTTCATACTCACATGAGTAGCTGGAGCTGCAGGACGCGGAGGCAAAGGTGGAACCAACAGCCCAGCTGGCAGAGAGAAGCCCACACGTTGCCCAAGCCCTTGTAGAAACTCCGTAATGTTCGTCAGCCTCTACGCCTAGGCCTACCGCTCGGCCCGCTCGGCCTCCATCTAGGCTGCCATCCTCTGGTGCCCGGCCTCCAGCTCCTGACGTTGTCTCATTTCTTGTTCCAGCTAGGCCTGTAATATTTCACTCCAATATTTCAGTAATGCAAAGGTAATTAAGGTGTGTAAAGATCAATGTATGATGAGTAAAACAGGAATAACCTCGAGTGCGTCAACCCGGTGCTGTGCAGCGGTCAGCCGTGTGCAAATGGCCGGGCTCTCGCTCGTGCTCCGTGCTCGGATCTGGGAGAGAGAGGAAGCAGAGGCCGTGTCGATGATGCCGTCGCCAAGCCAGAACCGTTCATGTTTCTTGCCTTGTCCCGTCCTCATGACGGCCTCTCCATCAAAGTCCTGGGTGCTTGGATCGTGGTCTGACCCATGGAGCGACCTCGCCACCTCAGTGTACTCACTGATGCGGGAGTGGATGCTCGGGTTAGTGTATGCCTCGCTCCAGGTTGAAGGAGACGTCGGACGTCGCCTTGCCCTTGTGGGCCATACACCATGCCTGGAGGTCCGAGCAAGCCTGACCACTATGTGACGCCGACTGCGAGAAAGACAGCACGATGATTAGAAATCAGGGAGAACTGAGTGTCACAATAGATAAATGAATTCGCGTACCCATACTTGTTTGTATCCGGCGAGGCTGCGGCTGCCTTGATAGTGTGCTGGACCTTGCATCTGCAAACGACGGTCTCGGACATCCCTGTGCATCTTGAGGTACTCCTTCATGAACTACCTCTCCACCATCATCGCCCAGCACTCGGGATACGCTTGGCACCACAAAGGAATCATCTACACATCATCAAGTATTGGACATATAAGAAGATCAAATTAAACCAACTTAATCTCAAAACGAATCAATATTGATGTTCTTCATTTACCTCAAGGTACTGCTCCCGGGTCAGCTGCATCTCTCTTGCCTCTTTCTTGGTTTTCCTCTCTCCAAGCTTCGACCCGTAGTAGGTTACGATGGTCTGGATGCGCACCTCGTGATGCTTGTCGGAGACGAGTTTTTTACAGGCTTTGGTAGTCACCTGCTCCGCCCTGGCCTCAAATCCATCCTCGCATCTGTAATAAGTCTGCATACAAAAGCGATCCATTCATTATTTCAAGAAAAGTCCAATGAATGCGATGTATTGAGCAATGTTGTGCGAGGGAGACTTACCCAAAACTTTGCCTTCACTCGCGCCACCTTGTTGGGATACTCCGCATCGGTGGCGACGGCGTAGTGGTCAAACGAGTAGGCCGGCTCCGTCTTCGATGCGTACGTGACAATGCCGGAGAAGTGTTTCCTGCACAGAAGACCCAAGATGCCGTTGACTAGCCGTGCGCTACCACCCGACACAACCACCCTGTTCCTGCACAAGTGATTAAGAAAAATTATTAGTTTTTTTCATCATATCATATGAAGTAGTGGTGATAACATATAAAGTTACTTACTTTTGCCCTTCGGGGCGAATCACTGGGCGTTGGTGAGGAAGCGGAGCCTGTGGGAGGCTCACGGGACCTCGCAAGTAGACACTCGAAGAGGAGTCGGAGGAAGCGGAATCCGTGCCTACCGCCTCCAACTCGTCGTCCTCGTGCGGCCCCTCCTCCTCATCCGTCTGCCGAACTAGCTCATCGTCCGACTCGTCCACGGGCGCCACCTCCTCCTCCGGCTCCTCCTCACATGGCGTGGGAGGAGACGACGCCCTCATGCGTCTGGCGGTCCTCCTCCTCCTCCTGTCCGATCCCTCCGCCGCCCCCTCCGCCTCCTCCTGCAGCCGGTGTGGTCTTTGGTAAATCGAGTTCACGGACCTATGCCGGTTGCCCACCATCTTTGTTCAATCACCTACAATAAAAAAGAAAAACAAGACGTAATTAGAAATAGGTGCAAAAATAAACAAAACATAATTACAAAAAAACATAGTAATACATGTATTAGAAATATTTGCAAAAATGAACAAAACATAATTACAAAAAAACATAGTATTACATGTATTAGAAATAATCTTCATGATTGAGATTAGCTGGATCATAGGTCTCGTCATCACTATCAACATTGTCCAACTCATCAACACTATCCGAAGCAGGAATGCTGTCTTCATTGTTATTGCCTAAACGTAATCGCTCAAGCATTTGTAGTCCTTCAGATTTCGCACCTCGTCTCTAGCAACCTCGTCTCTAGCATCCTCGTCATCATCCCTTTCATTGTCTACTTCCATTCTTATCTCTTCGATTAAGTTTATGTCAAACCTCCCTTGTAGTCCCTCTTCTTGATAGAACTTTCCATCATATGTGTTTGGATTGAAGTTGTAATCTTCATCGTTTGGGACAGGTAGTTTACCGTGTGGCGATACCTTGTGCACAATAGACCAACCCTTAAGATGCTCGGCGTCTTTGCACGCGTATGACGTATAATAAACCTGGACGACCTGTTGAGCCACAATATAGACATCTTTTCCTGGATAGACGGAATCCTATCGAATCTCGACTAGCCCAAGCTTAGGGGTCCGTCTTGTTACTCCAGGATGAAACCAGTGGCATTTGAATATGACAGGAGTAAGAGGTTTGGAACCATAGAATGATAGTTCGTAGATTTCTTCAATTTTTCCATAATAGTCGAGTCCATCAGTGCCGGGCGTAACAACTCCATTGTTTGTGGTTTTTTGATTGGACCGACTCTGCTCGTAGCTTGCTGTGTGAAAATGATATCCATTCACGTCATAACCGGTAAATGACTTGACCCTCATCGAACTGTCCTAGGTGAAAGTCATCAAACATGTCTGCTACCCCGGCATCAGCATCAAAAGCCTCCACC